TAAACACAGGTCTCCTGCATTGCAGGCAAATTCTTTACAATCTGAGCTATAGGGAGGTCTATGACAGGTCAAGGGAAATTTGTAGCTTTAAGTAATTATAATATAAAAGAAAAAAAAAAGGCTGAAAATTAGTGATTTAGGCATCCAAATTAAGAATATGTGGGAAAAACAAACCCAAAGAAAGTAGAAGTTAGATAATGGGGAGTAATATCTGAAATTAACAGAAAGTGGTCCAGCAGCAACAAGAAAAAAAAAAACAGAGATAATTTAAAAGGTGAGAAATTACCACTTTGAAAAATTTAACAGCAATAAATACATCTGGCGAAATTGATCAAAACAAAAGTGAAAAAATAAATACAGTATTGTGAATGAAAAGGAGGAATATTGCATACAAAGGATATAAAGATAAAACATTACTAATAATATTGTATCAATACATGTAAAGTTTAACCAAATAAACAAACTTTTAAAGGAAAAGTAATTTTTCAGTAGTGAATTAAGCATAAATAGCCTAAATATAATAGACCTGTAACTAATAATTTATATCAATAATTTAATATCTCCACAAAAATTAAGACATAAGTTTAGCCAAACATCCAAGCAAAGTGACATTGAATATTTTCTTTCAGAGAATAAAAAATGAAATATTCTTCAATTGTGAGATTAATAAACACCTTTCTACTAAAATCAGATAAAAACAGCATAAGAAAACTTAGGAGCCAATGTTACTTAAGACCATATATGGAAAAATCCTAAACAAATGACTATCAGACCAAATCTATTAAGACAATAAATAAAATGAGTTAAATTTGTCCCAGGAATGAAAAGTTTAACAATTGAAAATTCACTTATGTAACTCACTAAATTTAGAGATTACAGAAAAAAAATAATTGTAAAAAACTGTAAATAGATGTAGAAAAAAGCATTCAGAAAGTTCAGTACCTGTTTACAGTTTATAGTGAACTATAAAAATTTCTTTCTAAAAATCATATTTAGTAATGAAACATTGAAAGTCTCATCTCAAAAGTCAGGAACAGGGAGATAAATAAGCACATTTTTATTGTATACATTTAACAGAGTAATAAAGGATCTAAACTAAGCAATTTTGTTGTTGTTTAGTCACTTAAGTCATGTCCAACTCTTTTGCAGCCCCATGGACTGTAGCCCACCAGTCTCCTCTATCCATAGTATTTCCCAGGCAAGAATATTGGAGTGGGTTACCATTTCCTTCTCCAGGAATTTTAAGTAACACACAAGTAGTGCCATGTGGCTGGAAAGAACACAGACCAAGGATACCAAAGTAAAACCACAGAATCTTTTTCTATCAGAAAGGACTTCAAGGATTATCTGTATGTATCTGAGATATAACAACACTGATTAAAAAAACTATACTAGCAATTCCAAGAATGCTTCCTGGATGATAAACAATAGAAGAAAGTAAAAATCTGAACTCATTATTTTCAGGTGATCTAACTAATATTAGTGAATTAATGATGGTTAAAATAATGATATCAAATATATAAAACTATATAACATATGTATATTAGCATATTTACATATAATACATGAAACTAAATGTGATTGAAAGGGATTAGAGGACACAGGGTTCTGTTTCTTAATGTTCATTATGAATGCACAGATACTCGATTTTCAGTGTTCTTTGTCCTTTACATATATGTTACAGATATTCTTACAAGTATGAAATATTCCTTTCATACTTGAAAGGTACATTCAACATAGAAAGGTGCTGTTCTCTTAAAAAAAATACGGTCTCTACTTGTTATATGGAAAATATACATTATGAAAAACAATAGAAAAACATAGAAAAACTAAGGCAATATCAGCACCTTAACACAAATAAGTAAGTGATGCTATCATGAAAAGCACTTTTGTTTCGTGAAAGTATTGCCTGAGAATCCCAATATTACAGACGGTAAGTTTGTAAAAATATGCTTTTAATTGTAATAGAAGTTATTTGCCCAGAGCTCACTCTTTGCAAAGATGAGTCATGTGAAAATTCTGTTGGTCAACATATTTAAGATATGGCCATGACTGTACAGAACATTTGGAAAGTTTAATAATTTGTTTCATTTTTATTTCAACTGAGAGCACAAAATAATCATGCAATTTGCTATGCTTATTTATAGTATAATAAGAATTTTGATATAACCACAGTAGTTTCAGGGTGATTGACACAACATAAGGAAAGGATTTATTTTTGATGTGAAGAAAAAAGTATTATTATGTTGGGTATCATCTGGTAGAAGTTAATAAATAACACCTGACATTGTGTTTTTGTGATGTTAATGACAAGCCATTTCAAAGGTTGGTACATAATTAGGTTCAATATATCATCCAGAAATATTAAGACTTTTAGGCTTAAAAGGTTAAAATTTGCTAAGACTAGTAAGTTTCTATAGTTTGAACATGATCATCTCAGTGCTTTGCTTGGTAAGCTGAACGTTCTCTGTAGTAGTTGTTGTCTTACAAAGAGGATGGGGAGAGCTTAACAATGGTATGACGCCAGAGATAGAAATTAATTTTAAGTGATAATCACTATTTGTGCCAGCATTCCAATATTGCATCAATGTCATTTAAATACAAATATCCTGAACTTGCTAAGGATATCTTACATTTCAAAAGACAACTTACTAATCATGTTATTGTCCACAGAGCCAACTAGATATATTTCCATTTCATATGCATTTGGAGGAATAACCTATATCAAAGAACACTTACACTCTACTATACAGTGCCGTGTGTGTGTGTGTGTGTGTGTGTGTGTGTGTGTTTCTGACTGCGTGTATTTCTCAATTGCATAGACAAAAAGTAGATGCCCAGTCATGTTTAACAAGATTAACTTTCTCCTAATGTACCACACACAAGAGCATTTGCTTGTAAACCAGTTTGGACTATTCACTTTCTATTCCATTACAAAATAATCTTTGTCAGGTTATTCAAAGGGAAGTCACTAACTCAGCTCTCTAAAGTCTTGGGACAAACTATAATTTTTTAATTAACATTATAATTAACCCCAAAACTTTGAATAGTTCTTTTCAAACATTTAAACATGAGATAGGCACAAGTATAATTTCATTTTCCTATCTCTTTCCAAATTGTATCATCAGGAAAATTGTTTTATGTGAGCAGCCTGGTCCATTTTGCTAATCTGAGGGTGAGGTCATTTTCCAGAAATGAACATTTTTTAGCTTCAACTTCACAAACTCTGTGAAAATGATATAACATCATTTTTTTCAAATGATATTGACAGAAAGAATAAAGAGCTAAAAACCAGTTACTGAAATATTCTGAATGTAAATGTGGTGATGAACACTAAAATCCTACACCAGGTTCCTAATCCTACATTAAAATCCACTATGCAATACCTCAATGATGTTTGGAATTACTAAATGACTCTTTTCTTTTATAGACCAAATAAGCTGGTAGTGTTTTGATTCCAATAATAGCCCCACTAAATTTTCTCCTTTCAGTATTACCTTCCTTTTCAATGTGACTTTAAACACCTATCACTAAGAAGTGGAGTCTAATCTGTTGTCCCTTGACTCTAGGCTGGTCCTGTGACTTGCTTTGGCAGATAACATGTAGCAGAAATGAGCCAGTTCTGTGCCTTGGCCTTGTGAGCTTCTGTTCCCCCTCTTAAGCCATGAGGTCAGGCTCCTGTAGGAGTATGAGAGACAGAGAGTTGCAGGGCTAAGTCAGCCTGGTTTTCCCAGCAATGACCTAGGTTTGGAAAAGCCCGCCCAAATGAGCAAGATCTGTCTTGGTGTTTGGCTGGCCTGTGGCTTACTGCAGATGCATGAGTGAGCAGTCTGGCCCCACTTGAGGACCACCCAGTACATGTGAGCTAAAATTAATGTTTATGACGCTCTGTGTGCCTGCATTTTTGTGGTTGATTGTTACATGGCCTTAGGGCAACAATGGATAACTCATGACTATTATTCCTAGTTACAGTACTCAAGACAAAATTCTATACCAAGGATTCACTGACTTTTTTCTATAAAGATCCAGATAGTAAAAAAGTTTGGTTTAGTGGGTCACATGCTGTCTCTGTTGCATATCCCTCTTTGTTTTGGTTCTTTTGTTTCTTTTTACAACTCTTTACAAATGTAAACTATTTGTAGCTTTTGGGCTGTAGGGAAAGGGCTGTGGACCAGATTTGGCTTGTGGACTGTCATTTGCTGACCTCTATTCTGTATCTTGCAATGACAGTATACTGCTAACATCATGCAAAATAAAAGATGCAGAGGGATTCAGGATGCAAAGTAATGCAGTAAAATCTAATACAACTTTTAAAATATAATTATACAAGTTTTTTTTTCATTTTTAATTTTGTGTGTTTCTCTTCAATGGTGTGCTGGTAAAATTTTAATAACCGGTAAATACTATCACCATAGCCAATTTCACCCAGTCAATAGAGCATAATTGAGAAGAGATGTGTATACAGTTGGCTCACATGAGCTAGTAAGAGCTGACTCCTGCAGACCATTATTGTATTACCTACCTATTGTACTGCCTATACCATACTTCAGTAGTAATTATAAAAGAAATTGATTATAACCTCTACAGTTGTTGTTTAGTCACTAAATAGTGTCCAACTCTTGTGCGACCCCATAGACTGTAGCCTTCCAGGCTCCTTTGTCCATGGGATTTTCTAGGCAAGAATAATGGAGAGGGTTGCCATTTACTTCTCTGGGGGATCTTCATGAACCAGGGATTGAACCCACATCTCCTGCATTGGCAGGCGAATTCTTTACCTCTAAGCCACCGGGGAAGCCCAGTCCATACAATAAATATCCCTTAAACCGATTTACTCCTTCTGCTCACCTCATCTTTCTGACCCCAGTAAATTTTGGTTTTATGACCCCCTGGACTTGGAGAAGATTACTGTCCTTAAAACTGTCTTTCTTCTATGAGTGACCTGAGTTGCATTTATCTATGCAACTTCAGTTTCAAAGAAAATTACCTAAGGATAAACTTACCTTTCTTGGTTTGCTCTCCTCCAATGGGAGAACAGGAAATTATCTTCTTTTCAGGCATGGTTATTTACAGTCATTTGAAACCTAATTAGGAAGAAAAATATTTAAATATCATGAATCAAAATTAGTTTATGTTTAATTTCACTAAAAATTATCAACTCAAGAACTGGTAATATCAGGATATGCATTTAATATTATGTAATGCCTATATAGGGCTTCCCTGGTGGCTCAGAGGTTAAAGCGTCTGCCTGCAATGCGGGAGACCTGGGTTCGATCCCTGATTTGGGAAGATCCCCTGGAGAAGGGAAAGGCTACCCATTCCAGTATTCTGGCCTGGAGGATTCCATGGAGTGTGTAGTCCATGGGTCACAGAGTTGGACACGACTGAGCCACTTTCACTTTCTATGCCTATATATAAAAATAAAAACTAAATTATATTAAAACACAAGGAAATTAACATTATACTTTTTCCTCTGAGGATTGCTATAAATCTATTTGGGAACACCAAATGTAAAAATTATCTTTGAAGAGGCAACTTTGATCCTCTGCTCTGCTAACTTAAATAGACAGCTGGCCTGAGTACTAGATAACTTAGCATTCAGCACTGAAGCTGTGGGCTCACAGCCCTTTGGGAATTTTAGACCTTTCATTGTTTCATGATAAAGTTAAAGCTTGTTATCATCTTTTCCCTGCATTTCTTCGATTCCTTTTTAAAACATTTTGTATTATGGACAAAGTCAAATATACACAAGTGAAAGTGAAAGTCACTCAGTCATGTTTGACTCTTAATGACCCCATGGACTACTCCATGGAATCCTCCAGGCCAGAATACTGGAGTGGGTAGCCTTTCCCTTCTCCAGGGGATCTTCCCAACCCAGGGATGGAACCCAGGTCTCCCGCATTGCAGGCAGAGCTGTGCCACAAGGGAAGCCCCAAAAAGGATAAAGAGACTTACTCATGTAATTTGATCACAATCATAGCCTCAAAGTATCATGAGATGAAAATCAATTAAGATGATTCTTACTCAGCACAAACTCAAAGGGAACCCAGATAACAAAAGTCAACAGAAAAGAAAGATCAGAAACTGCTCCAGAGTTACTCCAGATAATGAACTACCAGTGTAAAACACCAACAGCTATGCTTAACATGCTTATAAACAGAATATCATATTTTAAAATGTCAGAACTAAAATTATGTAGATTGATACTGCAGATTTGAAATTAAGCCAGTTAGAAATCCATGAACTGCAAGCTGCTGTGTAACTGCGGTTCCAAACTCACTGGTTCAATTTAAAAGCCAATATGACAGTACTGAAGAAAGAATTAGTGAAACAAGTTCAGATAAAAAGAAACTATTAGAAAACACAGAAGCAAATGTAAAATTCACTGTGCTCAGCCTCCATTTTCAGGAAGATGGAGTGAACGTACTTACCCTTATTCCTTCCCCTACATACAACAATGGACATTATATATAAAATAAACATAAGACTTTAAAAGATGGAGAGAAGAAAGCAGCCTGGCTAGGTACCTTGAGATCAGAGGAACAATGAGGTGGTGAGTCTCCCAAGATTTTCTTTTTGCCTTATACATCCCAGACTTGAAACTAAAGAAACCAGAAACCCAGATAAGTATGCCAGAGGATACAGACCAAATAAATCGCTGACAAAAACCTGCTCTCTCTAGCCAAGGGACTACCAGGAAAGGGGCAGTATAGCAAATGGAATACCTTTACATAATAGCCTCTCTATTCCAGCCAAATACCACAGAAAAAACTGGCCCCACAAAGGCAGCATCAGGAGCCAAGGTGTTTCCATTCTTGCTAAGTGGTAAAGCGGCACCCCTAGTTTCTTGCTGGGGTGATGTCAGAAGACTCTGATGTCCTGTAGGCATCCAGGACTTCCATCCCTAGTGGTTGGAGGCAGCCTCGCCCATCTCAGTATCAACAGCACTCTGGGAAGACTGGACATCCACACCTCCTTATAGCACTAACCGGGCACCTCTTCTCTTCCCCAGTGGGGTGGCCTCAGAGCAGGCTTAGTAATAAGTCACAACTTTCACTACAATCCAGTACTTAGGAGGACCACACCCTCTCTATGGTGTTAGTGGTGTCCATGTAGGAAGCAGTGACTGGGCATTCCTACCTCTCCCAGTGAGGGAGGTGTCAGAGAAGGTCTAGTTGGAAGCTAGGACCCACAACCACTTCTTGGCAATAAGAAGTGGAAACTAAAATCTCAATGAGATATCTATACAGCTTATCAGAATGACTGAAACAAACAAAAAAATAGTTGCAACACTAAATCCTGGCAGGAATGTGGAGAAATTGGGTCATTCTTACACTGCTGGTTAGAGTATGAGATGACATAGCTGCTATGGAAAATAGTTTAGCAGTTCCTTTTAAGACTAAAAATGATTGTCAATATGACCCAGTTAGTTGCACTCTTGAATATATATCCCAGAGATATAAAAAACATATTTTCACTCAGAAACTTATGCAAGAATATTTTTAGGAGCTTTGTTCATGCTAACCAAAAAGCACACTACCCAAATGTCTTTCAGTGGTACATAATGAAAAGTTGTGCACATCTGTAACATGAATACTACCCCACAATAAAAGGGAACAACTCTTCATACACACAACACCTTGGATGACCCAAGATGAATTATGCTGAGTGGAAAAAAAATCTCAGAAAGATGTGTATTGCATTTCATTTATGAAATAACATAGAGATGGAGACGGGATCATTGGTGGGAAGAGGGTGACATCAGGGAATATTGTGATGATGTGCAATTAAATATCTTGATGGTGGGTAGTAGTTGGTGCTTACACAGAGCTACACATGTAATACAATTTCATAGAGCTATATATACACACACAAATAAGTGTATATATTATGGGTGAAATCTGAATAAGTTGTATGGTTTGTGGTTTGATACTGTACTACAGTACCTTATGATGCTAACACTGAGGGGTGGTGGGTGAAGCAGACAGAAAAGCTCCCTGTATATTTCTTTGCAACTTCTTATGAATCTATAATTATCTTTAAATAAAAAACTTACAACAAAAAAAAAAGCTATAAGGAAAAGAAAAAAAGATACCTAGAAAATCCTCATGCTTGTGGAAATTAAGAAATAAAACTATAAGTAAACTATAATAGAACATATCACAATGGAACTTAGGAAAAATTTTGAACAATGATCATGAATATAAACATATCACAACATATGGGACGCATCAGAGCAGTGATTGGAGGAGACAGTGTGAAGGTGGGAGGAGGTCTATTTTAAATAGGGTCTTTGGAAGGAAGAAGTCCTCCTTAAGAAGGTAACTATAATGAATTGAGAGAATGTGCCATAAAATTTTAGGGAAGAGTCATCCAGGAAGAACTGAAAGAGATCCAAAGCAGGAATAAGCTAAGAATGGCCCAGAAACAGTAATTGTAAATAATTAACTCTAGAACCAGCATTAATGCGAAAGCAGAAGTTAACAACCAAAAGGTCTAGAGCATTCCAGCTGACATTCATCCAAAGCATCCTATCAGCCGGGGCCTGGCCCCTGCTTCCTGGAACCCTCAGGCTTTTTTCACCATGGCAGACTAGCTTGTTAACCTGCCCTTCATGGTTCTTGCCAGAAAGCTGATTGTTAAATTTTCATTAATTTTGCAAGTCAGTTGAGGCCATGTGGTAGTTTGAAAAGCCATGGTGAGTAGATTTACACCATGAAAATCAACAAATGCCACAAATCAGGTCTTGTTTCTGTTTTTGTTTTGTCTTGAAATGTGGTTGTTAAATATTTATCAATGCACTACTACCAGAAAACACAGATTCCTAAGAAAACAGGACATAAGCTGCATTATTAGGTAAAATATAAGGCTACTGGAAGAGAGAATGAGACAATTATAGATAAGATTATTGGATTGAGTGGGGTTATCAAAGCTACAATCCACTCAGAAGGAAAGCAATGAATAATTTGTTTCTAGAAATTGAGTCATGAGGAGGAATAGGGTCATAAGAATGGAATGGTAGGTAAAGGAGAATGTTAATTTTAGGCTAAAAAAGTTTAGATATCAATTGTTTCAAATATTATATCTTCTTAAACTATTTCCAATTTGTCCCTTTTGAAAATACCACCCTCTGCTTCAGGGAGGAAATAGAAGGAATCAGATTTAAATTCTAATTTAATATTACCAAACCCGTAAACCAAGCACATGTGTACCTCGCAGGACCTCCTCCTGGTCTAACAATGCAGGGTATCCCTTGGCTGGCTTGTCCCTAGTTGTGCCAGAGCTCACAACACCTCCCTCCTAACTTACCGCTTCCAATTACAATTGTAAAATTCTTGTGCTCTTTTCTTAAAACAGTTGTTTTTGTTGACATTTGCAAGGCCACACATTTCTTTCTTTTCAGTTCCCTCCCAATCAGTTGAAGTACCTTTCTTTCTGTTGCTCTGATTCCTTATGAAAACCCCTGCATCAGAGCATCACTTTCAGTCTCTATTTACTCTACTACATTTTCTTCTAATAACTCATTGTTCAGTTCAGTTCAGTTCAGTCGCTCAGTCGTGTCCGACTCTTTGCGGCCCCATGAATCGCAGCACACCAGGCCTCTCTGTCCATCACCAACTCCCGGAGTTTACTCAAACCCATGTCCATCGAGTCGGTGATGCCATCCAACCATCTCTTGTTACTTAATATTTATTATAATTTTATAAACGTTTCCTTTATTTTCTCTTTTTCCGTTAGAGTTCAGGATCTACGATGTTCACTGCTGTGGTCCTAGCATCTACAATAGCACTATTAAATTGAACTTTGTACAGTGATGAAAATGTTCCGCATCTATTGTCCAAAATGGTAAGCATTACCCTAAGCCACATGATCACTTAGAATCATTTGATCACTTGAAATGTAGCTAATGTAACTGTGGAATAAATTTTTAATTGTATTTCATTTTAATTATTTGAAATTTAAATCACCATATATGGCTAATGAATATGATACTATATTGGACAGCACCTGAAACATTGGAGGAGTTCAAAAGGTCCTACTGAAAATGAGGGACTTGCCTGGTGGTTCAGGGGTTAAAATCCAC